ATACTTGTGTTATATTATTGTGTTATGTTTTTTAAAACACTTCTTCGTATAGTAGTGTGTAATTCAATTCAATCCTTTGGTTTGTGTGTTTAGATGCGATACTAAGTAAATATTGATTCAAATTTATATAACTTATAATTTGAAATATAATACAATAGATTTGGTAAATAAGATAAGAAAAGGATTGACTGACACAACGCTAATAGATTTGAAATATTTATACATATCTTTCTTTCATGTCTTTAGAGAATAAATATTTTTATGGGTTTGTCTTCGGAAGAGTAGAAGGAAAGAGGTTTGTGGCTGTGATTAGGGTTTGTTATATCATAAGTCATATGAAGGCATTGGAAGCCATTCTCAGAGCCGTTGTATTAATAGTGTATAGGATTACCAGTTATTAAAAATTATTTATACAATATAATGGTTAATGTGATTCCTATTGAACCATCCGATGGTTTAATAACTGGTTATTCATAGCGTATATACTTTACACTTTAAAATGCTTTTATTTCAATGAATTGATGAATAGATAATTATGCGATAGAAGGGAGAAGAATAAGAGGAGATATTAAAGAAATTAAAACAAAATATGTTTAATGAAAATTAATTCACAAATTCATCGATGAGTTTTGATTTAGATTTAGATAATAAAATCGTTCACCAAATGAGACGATAAATAAGAAATAAAAGCACTGAAAAGAATTGAATTTATTGCCGACGATTAGCATTAAATTATAACCAAATTTATTCACATAAACAGTATATAAGACTTATATTATAAGCAATAAAAATGCATCCTTTTTCGCATATCATTTCATTAACAATAAACTTAAAAATATTTTAAATTTTATTATCATTAATATTATTGTTATTATTGTTTGGGCCGTAGTTTTGGGCAATTTTTAGTGTTTATTTGAGAGACTGAACGGCAATTTGTTTTTTTGCATTTTCCGTATATTATATTCGGTATAAACTTATTATTAATGTTCTACTTATTGTAATATTTTCGGTGTTATGTTATGTTATTTACAAATAAATTCATTATCCCATCATATAGTGTGACATCACTTAATGTATTACTCGTTCATCAATTGGGGTCACGAAGAAAGCGCACCACAAGAACAGCACAATTGCCTTATTCTTTGTAGAAATACATATAAAATTTGTGTAAAAAGACAACTTATATATTATTACTAGAGTAAACTTCGGCTACAGGCGATACAATTGTTTTGTAGTATAGTAAATAGAGGTAAAGTACGAGAGAGAGAGAGAGAGAGAGAGAGAGAACATTTTACATAAAAACAAACTCATTGTTAGATGTGATGTCTATTTGGCATAAATTCTGCCGTTTTGTACATATATTTAATATTCAATGGCAGAGAATAAACCGCAAAAGTGAACCAAATATATAATTAGTTCAGATCGGAGTCTAATAACAAATTGCTTATAAATTGATGCCATAAACAGTCAATTTATAAAACCATTTATTTATACACTTTTGTTGTCTTTATTACTCCTGATTTGAAAATAACTTTTATTTCGTGGAAAATATCGCAAATATTAATCAATTATTTTTGTGAACCATTTTTATAGAAATTTGATTTTTGGAGAAAATTATTCAAAAAACTAATTTTTCATTTTATTCAACATATAATGACATTAGAAATGAATACATTATTTGATTGAAGAGATGTTTTGTGTTGAACTGAATTGAGATACAATCATATATTGAGCTCTAAATATGGCAATTTTAAACACATTTTTCTGTTGAATATATAATAATGATCTCATTTGAAGCCGATGTCCGCTATGTTAACAAAACATCATATCATTTATCTCCATTTCATGCTCTCTCTCTCTCTCTCTCTCTCTCTCTCTCTCTCAACATTTTACATAAAAACAAACTCATTATTAGATGTGATGTCTATTTGGCATAAATTCTGCCGTTTTGTACATATATTTAATATTCAATGGCAGAGAATAAACCGCAAAAGTGAACCAAATATATAATTAGTTCACATATCGGAGTCTAATAACAAATTGCTTATAAATTGATGCCATAAACAGTCAATTTATAAAACCATTTATTTATACACTTTTGTTGTCTTTATTACTCTTGATTTGAAAATAACTTTTATTTCGTGGAAAATATCGCAAATATTAATCAATTATTTTTGTGATCCATTTTTATAGAAATTTGATTTTTAGAGAAAAATTATTTAAAAAACTAATTTTTCATTTTATTCAACATATAATGACATTAGAAATGAATACATTATTTGATTGAAGAGATGTTTTGTGTTGAACTGAATTGAGATACAATCATATATTGAGCTCTAAATATGGCAAACAATTTAACCGTTACTTTAATTATAAATTCTACGATTAATTGATAGATAGTATTAAAAAATACAAATATTTGCAACAAAAACATCAAAATAATTGGCAGACAATCAGTAGAATAAAAACAATTAATTAAATTAGAAAATAATAAAACAAATAAATAAGACAATAAAGAGAGAAATATATTGATTAATGTATTTCTATATCAAATGTATTGATAAATTGCAAAACAGGGATGAGTTGCGCCCAAACGGTGTGCCTTTGAATAACGACTCAATGCAAACGTAAAATAGCAAAATGTGATGATTTTTGACAAATATAAAAGATATCATGAATAATAAAAACTCATTCAACCGTAAAATACTGGAAACTTTTGAAAAGATATGGATTTGTTTATATTGAATGGTTTTGCGAGCGATGGAAGCGCTGGAAGCGATGGCAGAGACGATAAAAATGAATGGGTTGTGGAGGCGGAAGCAAATGGGGAATAGTTGGCTAATGGCTTACTGGCCACAGAGCGCAGACCTAAATCAGATAGTCATAATTAGAGCCAATAATTAATATTAAAAAAATGAATTAAATTTATTAATTAAAAAAGAAATGTTGGTAAAAAATAGTTGCGGTAACTGTACTGTAGAGTCACATCTCTTATCGATAAGATGTGAACACCATTTCTCTATTAATAGTGTGTTTTATAACACATGGACTCCAATACAGGTATTATATCTGATGTGATGTTTGTTTTAATAAAAAAAGGTATCTTAAGGTCAGTGGAACAGAAGGAGAGCACAGGAGAGGAACACAAACCTCGAAAAAAAATTAGACAACTTTTTGGACGAAAACATAAGTTTAAGGATCTATGGCTTCGAGAGGTAGTGTAACATAGATTTTATCATTTGTTACATTTGTTTTGCTTTTTAATACCAATGCATTCCTCATCACATATTCGCTGAAAATTTTCATTTTTAGGACAACTTTTGAAGGATTATCGAGAATAGTGTTCAGCTATTTATATACAGTAATAGTTTTCGTGAGTAATTGCTTACAAATCTCATTAACGTATTGAAATTGACAATAGAAACTATGTTTTCATTGAATTTACAATTATTAACATCAGTTATGAATTATAACTTCTAATCCACTTAAATGCTAATTACAATAAATCTATTAATTCACAAAATCTAATCTTTGGTTTTAATCGCCTAATATTTGTTGAAATAGTTTTTAATTAATAATTTCATGAGAACTTTTTGTTGTTGTATTAATTTTTCAATAGTTTTGGTTAAAATATAATAAGATTAGTGGAGAGAGAGAGAGAGAGAGAGAGAGAGAGCATGAAATGGAGATAAATGATATGATGTTATTATTCTCTGCCATTGAATATTAAATATATGTACAAAACGGCAGAATTTATGCCAAATAGACATCACATCTAACAATGAGTTTGTTTTTATGTAAAATGTTGAGAGAGAGAGAGAGAGAGAGAGAGAAGTGCTTAAAGGAGAGTTACCTGACATAAAACTTGGCCTCAATAGGAGCGGATTCTTTCGCATCTGTAAAATAATACATACAATTGTTGGAAAAATAAGACAATTATGTGTTCCCGTGAGTTGTGAACACCAATACATACCTTAATTGAATCACGACTCGCCTGTTCAGCCAAATCACCACCGCTTTGATGCAGAGGTTTGTGTAGCTGTCGGGGCGGCTTTTGCGAGACCAACGGAGCCGGATATAGCTCTCCATTCAAGTCAACCAGACTATAGTCTCTTCCATAGCCGGCAAAAAGGTTGATGGGCTGATAGGTTGAGCCGGCGGTGGCGTACGGCGCGTATATCTTACTGTTTTGCATGGACTGCATGGGCACCGGATTGGACGCAGCCTTAAGCTGTGTGTCGGCCATCAAGTCATATGCGGGCGAATACAGTGACGATCGGACGCTCTCCTTATTCTGATTCCTGTATCCATTGTATAGATTGAGTATACTTTGGCCGTCTATTGTCTCCTGTATTTGAGTGGCGGCGGCCGCCAGTTGTGGCCAATTATTGGTATTTGCTTTATAGTAATAGTTAGGCCATCCGTCAAATGGCTCGGCGTTATATGCAGGCAATGATTGACCACTTTCTCTGTTGTAATAGTAGGGACTAATGGCTTCTTGTTTCTGAACAAACCCTCTGCCATTCAATTGATTTTTCCGATTCTGATTATTATTGATATTATGCGCCAAATAAGGAGTCTTTTTATTTTGATTTATATTATAGTTGTCATCAGTTTTGATGTCTTCGTCTTCCGGTTCACTATTACTGCTGTCGTAATCATATTCTGGTTTTGATTCATACATTTGTTTAGCGTTTTCTTTTTGCTTCAGTTTCGCCTCCAATGAGTCCTCATATTTCATCGATTGCTGGGCTTTGAAAACTGGGCTCAGTTTACGGCTCCCGTAATCGCCGTCAAAGCCATCGCCTTTATATTCCTGTTGTGATTGCGATCTGAAAGTTACGGTTTATTAACAATCACTTATTCACACGTTTCGTTGCTTTCAATATTTTATAGTAAAGTTATTTTGTTGTAAATTATTTAAATTATATATTTTATAAGATTTTATGTTTTCGTTTAACACTTACCTATAATTATATGGAGTTCTGATTTGTTTAGGATCTCTCGTTTGTTCCGATGGCTTGTATCTGAAATCATTGTTATTATAGAGTAGTCCCGACTGTTGTTCGCCGATTGGCTTTGAGCTCAATATGTTAGCCGAAGAATAGGAGACAGATTTCAGTTGAGATTCAATCGATGGGTAGATCTTTTGCGAGAGAGGCGGCAGTTCTGTCTGTTTGACAGCAATCGGTTCCGATTCTTCTGAATTCTGGGACTCAGACAATGGATAACGACTCGAAGACAATGGAGGGTAAGAGTAGTAAGGATTGCCGGCGTATACCGTTTGACTTTGAGAGAGACTACTCTCCACNCAGCAATCGGTTCCGATTCTTCTGAATTCTGGGACTCAGACAATGGATAACGACTCGAAGACAATGGAGGGTAAGAGTAGTAAGGATTGCCGGCGTATACCGTTTGACTTTGAGAGAGACTACTCTCCACCGCTTGTTGTCCACCAATTTGTGAATCTACACAATAATTCATACAATGAATTATAAAACACATTTAGCATCACTTTTGTATAGTAATTACCAAAGTTATCCTGATTTCCATTTGGTAGTGAGAGCTTTACTGGTATTGCCTTTAAATTAGAAAATATTAGTTAAAAAGTATTAGTTTTATAATAAAAAACAACTTCTGACCAAAATTAATGTTTTTCTGTCCTTTTTATTATCCAAATTATCTTCATTTTGAAGTCCGGACCCATAGTTGGAAGAACTTTGAGTATTCAATGGCTGGGAATTTGGATTATTATTATTGTTATTATTAAGATTGAAAACATTGTTTAAGGACAGCGATGCTGGGGATTGAGGTACTGATAGTTGAGAGTAAAACTGGGACTCATAAGCAGTAAGAGAGTCACAGCAATCGGTTCCGATTCTTCTGAATTCTGGGACTCAGACAATGGATAACGACTCGAAGACAATGGAGGGTAAGAGTAGTAAGGATTGCCGGCGTATACCGTTTGACTTTGAGAGAGACTACTCTCTACCGCTTGTTGTCCACCAATTTGTGAATCTACACAATAATCCATACAATGAATTATAAAACACATTTATCGCATAACTTTTGTATAGCATTTACCAAAGTTATCCTGATTTCCATTTGGTAATGAAAGCTTTACTGGTATTGCCTTTAAATTACAAAATATTAGCTAAAAAAGATTAGTTTTATAATAAAAAACAACTTCTGACCAAAATTAATGTTTTCCTGTCTTTTTTATTATCCGAGTTATCTTCATTTTGAAGTCCGGACCCATAGTTGGAAGAACTTTGAGTATTCAATTGCTGGGAATTTGGATTATTATTATTGTTATTATTAAGATTGAAAACATTGTTTAAGGACAGCGATGCTGGGGATTGAGGTACTGATAGTTGAGAGTAAAACTGGGACTCATAAGCAGTAAGAGAGTCAGAGCCGACATCCTTTTCACTAGATTTGTCTGCATTTGAATCGCTATTCTCCGACCGAACCGTCAGTATTAACGCCAATAACCAAAACTTGAGAAATTTACAAAATATTATAACAATTAAATGTTATTTTAATATATAAATATTTAAAACAAGCATTTCTTACCGAATGCCACAATCGATGCATTGCTGGCAAATGTGAACGAATAAAGCGAAACAAAAAACTTTTGAAATCTTTTCAAAATAGTTTTGAGTCAATTAATAAAAAAGTCTTAATGTCTTAGTTATCAATAGTAACACAGTTTTGGATGTGTGAGAGAGAAGAGCTGTTTAGAGATGTTTGTGATCCGGTGTTCAGTTGTGTTTTAATTTTAGTTCACTCTGTCATCCATGGGCTCAAGCAATGAGTATATGGCGAGGGCTGGAGGCGAAGACTGGTCCGATTGAGGGCACCGACACGTGCAGCAGATGTGCCCAAAATTCTCGCCGAAAACATACACAAACAACTCATACGACTCTATTTGTGTGAAATGTTTGCACACATTATAGTAAGGAGAGAGAGAGAGAGAGAGAGAGAGA